ATGAGCCAGCTTCTGGCTGAGTGGCACTCCCCTGGATATTGGCTTGCGCTGTCCCACCATGCCTGCAGTATGCAAATTAGCCGCCATCTTTGTTGGCGGTTAACTTGCATATCTCGCTGATTAGCCAATGGGAGGCATAGTGAAGGTATGGTCAATTACCATGTTTGTCTATTATTAGGATTCTAAAGGCCCGGTGCACGGATTTGTGCACATTGAAAGTAAGCTAATTAGAAGGTGGCTGGTGGGGCAGGACTGGACGAGGCAGGCCAGACACCCTGGAGCCAACCTCCCATGGTCCGTCCTCTGCCAGCTCTACCTGGGGCAGTGCCGGGCTCGAAGGGTGTCTGCAGAATGAGTAGGGTCCCTCTGGCAGTTGGGGTCCCTTGGCCTGGCCATAGGGGATCAGGCCGAACAGAGTATGAGAGGGCACTCTGGAAAGCTGCTGTTGCTCGGCAGCTCCTGCGTGAGTGTCTGCCCTCAGGTGGTCATTGCGCATCATAGCTACCAGCTTAGGCTTTTAGATTGATGGATGGGATAGGGAGAGAGAAATAGAAACATCAATGATGAGAAAATCATTGATTGGCTGCCTCCTGCACACCCCGTACTTGGGATGCAGCCCGCAACCCAGGCATATTCCCTTGACCAGAATCAAACCTAGGGCCCTTCAGTCCACAAGGCAATGCTCTGTCCACTGCCAAACTAGCTAGCACAGGTGTTAAATATTAATGAACATCCCTGAATTACTTCCTCTTCCATGTTTTAAAATACTGCTTTAACTTTTTTGACATCTTTGGGGCCCCTCACCTGCACCCCTTCTTGACGTTTCCTATTCCTTCATCCTAACCCAGAACACCGGGTTATACTTGAAGGTGGACATCTAGGAGGCCGGCACTGGCTATTTCTTAGAAACAGGAATGGATGTATAGCCAGTGACTCAAGACAGCAGACACAGATAGGAGAGGATATATTACATTATTAGCACCTTAGAATTACACATTCTTAAAAAATGCTAAAAATGCTTTTTAATTAAGTTCTTAATTTTGAGAGTAAAAAGTTAGATTCTCATGCAGTTTTACAGGTTCCCAAGTACCTTGTACCCCATTTTCCTAATGGTAGAGTCTTGCAAAACTATAGGACAGTATCACAGCTGTGGTATTGACTTCAATGCAGTCAAGACAGTGCATTTTCATCGCCAAGGATCCCTCTTGTTGCTCTTTGCAGCCACACTCCTCACTCCACCCCTTCTGAACCGTGGGCAACAGCTAATCTGTTCTCCCTTTCCTGTCACTTTTGTTCATTGTACATTCATGAACAGGTTTTTGTGTTAACATACGTTTTTATTTCTGTTATTGTAATTTCTGGGTGCTGGATAGTATTGTAGCTGCATGTTTAGTTTTTTCAATGTGTTTTTTATTGATTTTTAGAGAGAGAGGAAGGAAGAGGGAGATAGAAACAAGAAGCACCATTGATTGGCTGCCTCCTGCATGCCCCCTCCTAGAGATTGACTCCAGGTTTCTGGGTTGGCATTCATCCACAGAACCACACCAGCTGGGCTGCATGTTTAATTTTTTAAGAAACTGACAAACTTTTCCTGGGAGTTTTGGGAGTTTTACATTTTACACCTGCAGTGTATGAGTGGTCCCGTTTCTCTGCATTCTTACCAGCTTTTTCTTTTAGATAGGTGTGTGGCATTGTCTCATTTTAATTAGCATTTCCTAATAACGAATGTTGGACTTTTTTTTCATGGGTTTATTTGCCATCTATATATCCTTTGTGCTGAAAAGTCTCTGTGTCTTTTGTCAACATTTTCCAATTAGATTCTTATTGTGGGTGAGTTTTGACAGGTGTTTATATATTTTAGACACTAGTTCTTTGTTAGTGTGTGGTTTGTAATTATTTCCTAGTCTGTAGCTTGTCTTTTCACCCTCTCCAGGCTGTGTCTTTTGCAGAGCAGAAGTTCTGAATTTTGATGAAGTCTGATTCATCAGTTTTTCAGTTAGCTAATTTATCAGTTAGCCACTGCTTAGGTCCTTTACCCACTTAGCATACCAACATAGATCATCATCCTTTTCAGTTTGTATTTCCCCGTTATATTAAAGGTAGTGACTTTGAGGCTACACTATTTGTTTTATCTTGGAACTGGTAGTTCACAATGCATTTTTTAATATTTCTACTGAGACTATGCTAGATAAAGCAGAACATGATCCTAATTTGACTTTCCCCAAACAGCCTTGGCTGTGTGTGGGCATCACAGTTGTTTGCAATATCTGGAAATTATCCTCAGTGTTTTTTTCCTGAATGTAAATGTTATGCCTCCAGGTATTTGCTGGTACTGTGGTAGAGAATAGCATTTGTTAGTGTTGGAGTGGATACGGTATTTCTTAATCTTGTGTGTGACAATGTAAACAGGCTTAAGCCAAAGCTGTTGCAAAGCGGTGTCAGTTTGAATCTGTGATGCATTAGGCGTTGCGCGAAGTTCCATGACAAATATGTTCCATATTGATTTTTTCATGCTAGTGCTTAGCCTGAATAGTTTGACCACATTGTAAGTCTGTCACAATAAATGCCAAATAAGATGCTAAAAGTTAAATGAAGTTTAACGAAGCCTGGTGCCACTTACCATCCTGTGTCTGTTCAGTTGCCGGAATCTGCGCTCCGAGACCTCATCGTGGCCACCATTGCTGTGAAGTACACTCAGTCCAACTCCGTGTGCTACGCCAAGAACGGGCAGGTAACAGAGCTGTGACACTCACCCGAGGGGCTGTGGTCTTACAAAATGATACTCAAAAGTCCGCCTGCCTGTGGTGCTAGACCAACTTGAAGGGGAAAATTTGCCAAATTTTTCTCTCCTGGGTTTGTCAGAATTTCTTGAGTAATTTGGTGTGCAGTTCAAGCCTAGAATGGGTTGGCAATTTCGGATTAGTGGGACTAGAACAGCTGCTACAAAACTGGCTTGCTCACCCTCCCCACCATTAGTAGAAGAGGAATAAAAAAATGATGATGCCACCCACCAGCCCTTATTTTTTCTTCTCACTGTCTTCAGCTCTTCTCTTAGCATTCGTTTGGCCCATAAGGGGAGGGGGAGGGTGGATATTCATTAGCGTGTGCCCAGGAAGACCCTCTCAAAGTCAGACTTTTAAAAGATTGCTAGTCTCCGCTGACAGAAACCTGGGAGTTGTGGCTACTGGTCTCCTCAGGCTCTAGTAAGTTCCAGTAAGACCATGTGTCACTACATATGTCCAGGAGTTGTAGGAACTTACAGAATATGAAGAGGTAAACTGTATAAACAGTAGTCATAAACCTCTTAGCCTCACGTATTTGCATGTCTCTTATTTTGGCCTGCTTTTTTCTTCACGAAATTAATAGCTGGGTTTGGGGAAATCTGCACAAAAGATGCTTTGAGACAGATGTGTGGTTGGAAGAGGCGTTCACGGCGATGTCCATGTTCTCCAGGTGATCGGCATTGGAGCAGGACAGCAGTCTCGGATCCACTGCACACGCCTGGCAGGAGATAAGGCGAACTTCTGGTGGCTCCGGCATCACCCACGAGTGCTCTTGATGAAGTTCAAAACCGGAGTGAAGAGAGCAGAAGTCTCCAACGCCATCGATCAGTATGTTACTGGGACCATCGGCGAGGTACGTACAAGGCTTCTCGTTGGGCTATGAGTGGGGTGTGTTAGTATGTTCACTCTTTTCTGTGTGACTTCATCACTACAAAGAGAAAATGCTATTATTTTGAAATTCTGTATTACTTAAAATTGTTACTCTAAACTGGTTACCAATTCCTCATTGTCCTCTTTCTCATTTAACTTTCTTCATCGCTTTCTGACACCGCAAATAGTCTCTGTTTTTTCAAATTATAACCATTGGTTTAGTTTTGTGTGTTTGTATTTCCCCTGTTGATGATAAGTTTTTGATAGGATGGACTGATTTTCATGCATCTTAAGGTGTCAGTCCCAGTGCCACGCATGACACTACATGTTAAGTGTATGTTCAACATTACATTCAAATTGCCTGATAGCAGATAACCAGTATCGCTCTTCTCCACCCATATTTCCTCCAAACACCGTTAACAACTCATGCTTTTGTTATATTTCATGCTCTTTAATATCTTTTGTTCTGAAGAATGTGTATGGGAACATTAAAAATTGCAAGAATCAGGTAGCCTGCCAAAAGAATAGGGGTTAGTCCATTTTCTGGATATTAGCAAGTGCTTGAGACATATTGGATGGAAAACAAGAGAAAGGTCCTGTAATCAAAATCTCAGTGGTTTTCTGAAGTGTGAGTACTACACGGAGGTGTTCATTCAGGGTCAGGAATCCGGCATAGTGAGTGTCATTGAAAAGCGAGACTGCAGAGTGTGCCTTGTGACGGAAGTACTTGAAACAACTTTCCCTTTTTATTTTAATTGTGTACTTTTCTGTTTGATATTACCAAGCAAAACCCTTCTAATTTTCCTGGAAAGGTCTTTATATGTGAACAGGAATAAAAGTATGTGCTTTAAGCCGTCTCCCCCCCTCCCAAAAGAAAACTCAAATTGGAAGCACCTTCTTAAAATATGAATATTATGACTTGTGTTTTGATTTGTCAAGACTATATACTGAGGCTAATTGTGTAAATGTAGTGTTAGTCTTGTTTTGATACAGGGATATAAAGTGGTAGATTTAACTTGAGCAGAGATTAAAGAACAAAATATATTTGGAATAAACTGATGTATAATGTAAATGGGATAGTCTTTATTTGCCACACTTAGAGTCAGTTTTCTTCCTTAATGAAATGTTAAAGCATTAAATAAAAAAAAAGAGAGAGAGAGATTCTAGAAATATGAGCCTGAATGCCACTATTTATAATGAAGAAGTCCTGGGAGAAATGCCCAAGTGCTCTCCAGCATCGTGGCGTCAGATAGCCCTATAGAAGATGTCAGAACTTTCCTCTCTCTCTTCCCCCCACGCACAGGATGAAGATCTGGTAAAGTGGAAGGCTCTGTTTGAGGAAGTCCCTGAATTACTGACTGAGGCCGAGAAGAAGGAATGGGTGGACAAGCTTAGTGAAGTGTCCGTCAGCTCGGATGCCTTCTTTCCTTTCAGGGACAATGTGGACAGAGCTAAAAGGGTAAGTGTGGCGTGCGTGTGTGGTGCAGAGAATTGATCACTATGTAGAAAGTTGCAGAAACCCTGCTTCTGATGGTAAGTTCTGTGAGTTACATATTCTATGTGCTATGTCAGGATAGTTAGAGAACTGTTTGACTTCTCGATGTGATGTATGAATAACTCTGGTCCTGTTATTTCTGTCTTTTGTCTGAGTGAATCAGTCTGCAGTGTGAGTCATTCTTAGCTTATGCTTTGGTAATTTGGATTTTGACTTTTGTGCGTTTTAACATAAAATTGTGTTCGGAAAGTCAGTATCTATTCCTCCTCCTCCTCCCCCCCTAGAGTGGCGTGGCGTATATTGCTGCTCCGTCCGGTTCTGCTGCTGACAAGGTTGTGATTGAGGCCTGCGATGAGCTGGGAATAGTCCTCGCTCACACGAGTCTTCGGCTCTTTCACCACTAATTTCATCACACGCGCTTTAAGTTTGTTTATGTGGGTGAAAAATCATGTGGGCAATTTTGAAAATACTTTGGAAAAAATAAAAATAAATCTGAATAATAACCTTGGATTCATGGTGTCCAGTAGTTGTATGTAATTTTTCCTAAAGATATAGGTTCTTGCCCTGACCGGTTTGGCTCAGTGGATAGAGCGTTGGCCTGCAGACTGAAGGGTCCTGGGTTTGATTCTAGTCAAGGGCATGTACCTTGGATGCGGGCACATCCCCAGTAGGGGGTGTGCCAGAGGTAGATGATCGATGTTTCTCATTGATGTTCCTAACTCTATCCCTCTCCCTTCTCTGTAAAAAATCAATAAAATATATTAAAAAAAAAAAGATATAGGTTCTTGAGGCATGCTCTTCCTCTCAGGGACACAGCTGGGCCTTTCCCATCTCCCTATTCCTCCCCCAGGTGTGTTACCTTTGTCTTTCTCCTAAGCTCCAAGGGCCCTTCTTCTGCCTCTGTAACTAGTTTTCTGAGCCTACGCAGCCCACCTGGCTCGCTTCTATTACGTCTAAACAAACTTTCTCTGATAATTTGGGGGAGGAAAATGATCTAGGGTCTTGCACACAAACATTTGTGTGTAAGAAACACAGGAATATCCCGACCTCCTGGAGCTCAGCACATCCCAAAACATTTGTGAGAAACTTCTAAGAACCATTACGTGAGCCAGAGAAACCGAGCAGCGCTGACTAGATGCCACAATCCTACTCCGTTTCTGTTCATCACAGTTATGAAAAGCATGGCTTTCCGCCTTCTAAGCACAGCAGATTGTCCCTGGGGACCAACACCTAGGAAGAGATCAATGTCTTCTGTTGACCCCATATACAGACGGATAATGCTGGTACTTACTTTTCCCTCCGTGAGAAGTGAAATGTTTCCTGTCGCTTCAGTAATGTCCCCTCTGCAGCTGCATAACAAATATAATGACTGCTTAGTGCCCAGAAGCAGACCAGCTCTCCACTTGGGGATTCCCACGGAGCAGTCCAGCGCCGGGGAGGGGGAGCGGGCAGCGCCTCCCTGCGTCATGATGTCATCGTGCATTTACGTTCTGCACGTGTGGTCCTGACTATAACCTGTTACACCTGAGACCAGCTAAAAGCTTTTGTCATCTTTCCCCTTAAACCAGTGGTTCTCAACCTTGGCTGCACATTAGAATCACTTGAGAATCTTTTTAAAATCCTGATTTCTGGGCCCCATCCTCCGGAAATTCTTTCTTTGTTACTAATGTTGTGGCCCCACCCCATAACAACAGAATTTCCGGAGGATGAAGCCCAGAAATCAGGATTTTAAAAAGATTCCCAAGTGATTCTAATGTGCCGCCAAGGTTGAGAATCACTGCCTTAAACAGATGAGTCCCACCTTCTGCCATGTCTTTAACCTACCTCCTCCCCAATTAAAATTTCTGCAGCTTTTTTTTTTTAAGATCATTCTTCTAGTCATTAATATATTGACTAACATAGCCTGTGTATAGTACCCTCCCACATTGAGCCAAGGCTGACTTGTGTGATGTGACCAATAAAATAATGTTTAAGAAAGTGTAACCTCTGAGGGTAGGTCATAAAGACATTCAGTTCATTCATATTCTTGTCAATCAATTATTGATACATTTGGATTTGAAATTTGAATTGATAGCTCTATTTTTCTCCTAATAAGTTAAGAGCTTGTTCCCACTTTCACAACTTTGTCCCTCCCCACTCCTCCAACCCCCTCAAAACTCCCATAATGAATCCTAAGCTTTCAATTCTGGGTTAGGGAGATAAATTGTTTCTTAGCTATTTTTTTAAAGATAACGTTTCTGTTCACTATTACTTCACATATCTCTTGCAGTATCCCCCGAGTTTATCTCTCTTGTAGAAACTATGCAGTATGGTCTGCTAGGCACAGTAGATTGTAATAAATCATGCCTATGGAAAGAGCATAAAACAGCTACAGTTCAAGGAATATTTTTTTAAAAAATATGTTTTTATTGATTTTTAGAGAGAGAGGAAGGGAGAGGGCTAGAGAGAAAAAGTGATGAGGGAAACATCATCGATTGGCTACCTCCTGCACACCCACTCCTGGAGATCGAGCCCGAAACCCAGGCATGTGCCCTGATCGGGAATCAAACCAGTGACTTAGTTGATGGGTTGATGCTCAACCACTGAGCCACACCGTCCAGGCAAGGAATAATTTTTAAACAAACACCTGTGTCACCAACAACCAGGTCAAGAAAAATACTTTCTCCAATAGCACCCCTCCCCCCATGCCGGTTCTAGATTGTGGCCCCATCTTACCCTCCACAAAACTGTCTCAAGCTCTTTGAGATAATCACTACCTTGTTTTGCCACTCATTGCTGAGTGAGCTTGGGTTTATAATTTAATCCAGGGGTGGGCAAACTTTTTGACTCGAGGGCCACAATGGGTTCTTAAACTGGACATGAGGGCCGGAACAAAAGCATGGATGGAGTGTTTGTGTGAACTAATATAAATTCAAAGTAAACATCATTACATAAAAGGGTACGGTCTTTTTTTTTTTTTTTAGTTTATTTCAAATGGGCCGGATCCGGCCTGCGGGCCGTAGTTTGCCCACGGCTGGTTTAACCTCTTGAAATTTGTTTTTCATCTATAACCTGGAGGAAGATTTGTTCCTGGAAAAGAGAGTAGCTCCCTTTTCAAAATAAATGTCCTGGGTATTTGTCAGGGTCAAGTCCCAGCTTTGCTACTGGCCTGGCTAATTCCCTCAGCCTTTCCTTCACTATTTGTGAAGTAATGGTGCTGACAGTACCCACCTCTTACCGGTTGCTCTGAGGGGTAAATAGATAATCTGAGCACTTGGAACACCACCTGGAACTTAAGAAATGCTGTCCAGCCCTAGCCGGTTTGGCTCAGTGGATAGAACATCAGCCTGCAGACTGAAGGGTCTCAGTTTCGATTTCAGTCAAGGGCACGTGCCTGGGTTGCGTGCTCAATTCCCAGTAGGGGGCATGCAGGAAGCAGCAGATCAAAGATTCTCTTTCATCATTGATGTTTCTATCTTTCCCCTCACCCTTCCTCTCTGAAATCAATAAAAAATATATTTTTAAAAGGGAAATGCTGTTTATAAAAAATGCTGATTATTTTCATAATGCTTTTGTGTATATGATGGCATGGAAGATACTGGAGGATATTAATGTATGGAAATTTCCATAAAAAGTAGTAAGTGTATATTTATGGAAGAGTTTATTTCAGTTTCCGAATAGGTAGCCAAAATGTTTCAGAGTTCCTACACCCTAACACCTACTCTTTTTCCCACACTCCACTTTTTACCAACAAACAGACTTTTCTGGAACTAACATGGCATTTTTTTTTTTACTTTTTTTATTAAAATAAAATTTATGAAACATAACTTTTACCATTTTTAACCATTTTACAGTGTACAAGCCAGTGATTGTAAGTATATTGACATTATCTAGTCCTGCCATCACACTCTCTAGTTGCAGAACATTTTCATTATCCCACAAAGAATCTCCATCCCCAGTAAGCAGTTACCCTCTATTCCTCAGCCCCTGATAACAATCTACTTTCTCTTTCTACTGGTTTGCCTATTCTGGACATTTCATATGAATGGAATCATGTGATATGTGCCTGACTTCTTTCACTTAGCACAATGTTTCTAAGGTTCATGTTGTAGAATGTGTGAGTACTTCCCTTTTTATGGTCAAATAATCCTCCAGTGAATGAAGAGACCACATTCTGTTTACTCGTTCTTCCATTGATGGACATTTGGGTTGGTTCCACTTTGGGGCTACAATGAATAATGGTGCTATGAACATTTTTGTACAAGTTTGTATGTGAACATGCTTCAGTTCTGGCTGTATACCTAGGGGTAGCATCGCAGGGCCCTATGGAAATAGGGGTTAACTTTCTGAAGAACCACCAAACTTTTTCACAGCAACTGCAGCATTTTACATTCCCCCTCAGCAACGTATGAGGGTTCCAAATTCTCCACCAAAGTAGCACGTTTTGGAGTGAAATACTGTACAGCTTTTCCGCTCTTGGGTCAGCATCTTACAGCTGATGCTGGATTATACATATCAGCAGGTCTTATTGTGAAGTCCTGCCCAGCAGTCTCCTGGCAGAGGCAATGTTCCCTTTGGCTGGTTCCAAGGTACCTTGATGCAAAGAGAGATGGCCAAGGGGTAATCCCTTAGCCTTTGACTATTGTTTGCAAGGGGAGCCTGCTGTGGTAGGTAGCCTGGAGGAAAGGTGATCCCAGCCCCAGCAGGTGCAGGATGCTGACCACCACCCCACACTAGGCACCTTCCTCAGCCTCCAAATAATACTAATTGCAAGTCTTTGGAAGCTCCACTCAGTGCTATGTTAGAGGTGAAGTTGCCTCCTGAGATTGTTAAAAAACCTATCTGTCTCTAAACCCTACATAGGAATTCAAGGAAATGTAAAACATGTTTTAATATCTTACCTGAATTCTACTGAGGATTGTTATTAAAAAATTTTCCCATTTTGGGCTTTCAACTGAAGCATTGATTCTCTGGCACTTTTATTACTTAAAATATTCTCTTTGTAATTTATATAGATTTTTGTTTGCAATCCCAATGGGATCTTTTAACGAGGACATGGAATGGGACCATGCGGCAGTGATAATAGCGTGAGCATCACATACACTCTAAAAAGAGCTTTTTCAAAAAAAAAAAGAACTTTTTCAGTCTGAAAACCCTATGGCAGTGCCAGGTCATCTTTGTGCTGCTTCTGCTTTATTAGCCTTTATGATAATGTTTAAATGTTCCCAAATTGAGACATCCCAAGAGTGGGTGTTTTGTTTTTTTTCATGGTTGGAACGTATCCCCTGAGAATGATTTTTCAGTTGTAGACTGCCACTTTCTCTACCACAGTAAGAGGAATTTACTGAATGGGAAGCGATTTCAGCACTTAAATGTGTGGATAAGTTTCTTAATCACTTTAAGAGTTATGTACAACTAGAAATGGTACAGAATTTCCAATGGAAGTATCCTATCTAATAAAAGAGAAACATGGTAATTAGCGTACATCCGCTACCCTTCCCATTGGCTAATCAGGGCGATAGATATGCAGA